ATTTTCAAATTTAGTATTATTTAGGATTGTTTCTTAATAATCTTTTTTGTAAAAAATTATATTCTAATTTCCTTTAATATAGGTACTCTATTGATTTTTACTCTTATTATACACGAATTTCCACAATAAACCTTTGTAACTTATTAATTTAAGTATGTAATTTTTAAATATAGAAGTAAGATAAAGGATTAATATATGTAGCATGGTTCTAAAATTCTATTTAAATTAAATGAAAAATATTATATTTATTTTTTAAATAATATTTATATTTTTTCATATTTATTTTTAATTATTTTATATTATCATCATAATAGGAGTTCGTATTGTTGTAATCTGAAGGAAAGAATTTCGTAGATGGCCAGTGATTATCACGTAGAAAATCTGAGGTCATTTGTTTTCAACGGGAGATCCGCTAGTGCATCGTATATAATTTATTTCCGCTGGTTTACTTGGATATTACGTGGCGTGCTGACATGTTTAAATTTTGCCACGTAGACATGCTAAATGTCGAATTTCTGTGCATCCGAGTCTCCTTTATTATATTAAAGGATATGTTTTCAATTTGCTGTGCTAAAAGAGTTGCATATATGTATTGAAAATTTTGTTTATTCTCCATGACATGAAAATATTCTAACCATTTAGCTTTAACCATAAATTTAAAATTATAAAAAGTGTACAATTAAAAAGTTATTTTTTAAAATCAAAATTAATATTTTTAAATTTGAAAACTATAAAAAAAGATATACCCAGTATTGAATACGGAGTAACAGTTAGCAGAGTAGCATTTCTTGTTTTTTGCATTTAATTCTTAACGGAGTAGTTAACTCCATTTTGCCTTTTATTATTAAATAATAATATGCCACATGAGCCTTCAAAAAAAAAAATATGCCATATGGCAGTCACATAAATGTGGGATAGAGGAATGGGACACCCAAATTGGGATAGAGGATCCGGCCCCTAGTTTCATACTGCTTTCAGTGCTTCGCTTCGGTCTACAATATTTTACCGGGTACTCCGTATTTTTTATCTTTGACAAATTTTAACCTTTTTTTCCCCACAAAGTAGGGGTGGACGCGGTCTATGATGGTCGGTGATACTACCGGAACCTATCACGGACTGCTATTATTTAAACGGTTCGGTATCGGTACGGGATAAACTCCAAAATCATTCGATACCATTCCGTTTTGAAACGAAATGGTACAATACTTAAAGAATATTGAATTTAATGTATAAATTTGTATAAAAAAGCACAAGAATGTTAAATAAAAGTATTCATTTCAAATTTAAACTTATCATAAACATAAAAAATAGAAGATAACGAGTCCAAAGTTAAAAAATAATTTTTTTCCCAATTCATATAATATCGGAATACTAATAACTATAAAAAAAATAATGCCAATAGTAATAATAAATATAATAACAACAATAATAATGAGAGAGCTTAAAAATGAATAATAAAATACGAAGTACTCTATACACGGTAAGATGAAGTAGTCAAATACTCCATAATTATTTGAGATATGTACTCCGTATATAACGTTGGACGGTTCGATCCGTGATAATCGGTTTTAAATATTTGTATCATGGTCCCGTCCCATTTAGTATTGGTTTGGTTTCGGTTCGTGATGAAAAAAATCAATCCCGTTTGAAAATACTATAAACGGTTTGGTACCATTACGGTCCGGTATGGTACCATGCTAGTTCGGTTTTTTTGCCCACCCCTACCACAAAGAATTGAAAAACTTACCTAGTACTTTCTTTTACAGATTACTTTTTTTCATTACAATTTTATTTTTCCTTTTTCTTGATAACCTTTATTTGTTTGTGTTTTCATTAATTATATGATAAAATAAAATATTTCTATCACTTCTTGTTTTGTAGAGATTTTGTTCTAATTTTTTAACATGTAACCTTTATTTCTTATTGATGTACCAATTTGTAAATAAAATAATTTCAAAAATTGTGAAGTTTTATCTCATAATTTTCATTTTGTAATCAAAATAGGGACAGATGGAGTATTAAAACACAGTGAATTCCTAATGTAGTATTATACGGAGTATGTTTTAATTTCTCAATGTAGTTTTAATGTTCAATATCCACTGGACATTGTTCAAAGTAAATGTCCACACTATTAGACTTTGTTCAAATTATTTTTAGAATAAAAAAAATTAGGTACTACATTGGAAAAAGAAATACGGAGTATATTTTAATATGATTTAATGTAAATATCACTTAAGAATATATACGCGTAAGAGATTAACACAACACATGATATATCAATCCTAAAATTACGTAGTATTTTCATATAAATTTATTAAAAAATTGATGTATAGTATGTCAAGATTTACTCTGTAAAATTTATATACTTCAATACTATTTCAAAAAATTACAAAACAAAAGATGACAAAACTATTTTTAAATAAACTATTTTAAAAAATAAATAAAGTTCTCGTTGCGCGTTACGATTTCGACTGAACTTATTTTCAAATCATTTTATATGAAAAATGGCATGAAATTAAATATAAAATTACATATTTAAAAACTACATGAAAAGATCTACAAAACTCAGAGTGATATGAATATACTCCCTCCGTCCCAAAAAGTCTTTCCTGTTTCATTTTTTGCGCATCCCATAAAACACTTTTATCCCGTTTTATTGCCAAAAAAACTTTCAAAATAACTTCTATCCACATTAAAGAAGAAATTTTGTAAATTTTAGACATTTTAGATGTCGTTAAAAGTATTTTATGGGATGCGCAAAAAATGAAACAGAAAAGACTTTTTGGGACGGAGGGAGTATTATTTTATCAAATAGAACACGAAAATAGATCAACAAAGTGAATAAAATTTAATCCCGTGAAAAGTAAATAAGATCTTTATTATTGGATGGAGGGAGTATTATTTTGTAAGATGAATAGGGAAAATTGTCAACGAAATTTTGCCCAAAAATAATACGGAGTTAATACAAGTATGAACTTCTATACTTTTGACGACTTGGTACTAAAGCATAAATATTTGTTGTACATCAAAAGAATAAATTTATTAAGAATCAATCTTCTTGTTGTCTTCAACTCGTGTTGTGGACGAACCAATTCCAACCTGTAACCACTTGTGCAACACATCATCGTTAGAGTTACCCATTTCATCATTTTGTCCACTCATCTCTGCAAACTTCTTCAACTCCTTTTCTGTTTCACCATCACCATTAATGGAGGACACCGGATCCTTCTTCTTCTTCTCTTCATCAACACTCTTATTATTCACAAATTGCCAATGTTGCAGATGAATCTCTGTAGAAACATCATTTGCATGCCCATAATAATAAGAATTGTCGTCAACTTGCGCAGCTGCAGGAGCTCGGTTGAGATCAATGGTGTCGTCTAAACGATGATGATCCACGAGTCGGTTCGTAAACATGGTTTGATGATTCCTGTGATGATGATGATGATTGGGTGTGATCCAATGGCACCTTTTGTGCCCTCCAAGGGCTTGTCCTGTTGGGAAAACTTTGTGACATATAGAACACTCGTGTCCTCTAATATAATTGACACTCTTATTGCGGCTGTTGTTGTTGTCCATAATAATTTCTTCTTTTTTGGTTGCATAGCATCCTTTAACCTTCTTGTGACTAGCCCTATGCCCACCTAAAGCTTGATGAGATGTGAACACTTTGTTGCATGTTTTGCACTCAAAAATTGTCTTCTTAGAAAACACCTTGTTTTTATTGGGAACGACGACCAAACCATCCCCGCGAAGGCGAGGAGTCTCCACCGTGAACTCTTCCTCCTCCTCCTCCTTACTAGTGGAAGCGCATGATGACGATGAAAAAGGCGACTCCTCCACCCTATTATTTGCCAAATCCACCAACCATCTCGCAAAAATGATGTCGTCTTTTTCTTCCTCATTATCACCCACTCTTTTTTTCGTTGACCTCTTCCGCTTCGACAAGCTTCCATAACGTTCTCTCTGGGTGCATTCCCCGTGCTCCAGGAAAGACTTCCAGCAAAAGAATTCGCATCCACAATGCTCGCAGATTCTAATCGCGCTCTTTTTCGACCCATGGTTAGGGTTTGCCCTCAACGCGTACATCGTCGTCCTCTTGTTGTCTGTTATCTCGTTGTCGTCATCGTCGTCTCCGTCCTCCGTGTATGCACTCTCATCTCCAACAATGCCATGAGCTCTCATGTGGCCACCTAGAGCTCCCTCACACATAAAGCCCTTCCTGCAAACCCTACAATACTATCTAGAGAGAACATGATTAGAATTCATATTAAAGAACACATTGTAAATATTAAAGAGATGGATATTGTATTTATAAGCAAGGTATAGATAGGTGAAGAAGAGGGAGAGTTTAAGTCCTCACGAGTATGAGGCAATGAAAGGAAAGATGTAAGCCAAGCTAGTTTGAAGAGAGAGTAATGTAGTTTGTGGATGGGATGAGAGTTTTGAGAGTATATAGATGTCTAGTGGAGAGTAAATGTAACAGGTGACAAGTGGGAGAATGATAGCCTAATAACACTTTGCATTTATATTGTGTGCTCTATCTTAGTCTCTTTTTACACTATTAAATTGTCAAAAAAGAATAAGAGTGAAGGTTAATAATATTACTTTTACCTTATTCTCCTTTATTCAAAATATTAAATGTTACAATAATTTTATTTTAAAATAATCTACCCAAATAACTCAATTTGTTCTTTAATTCTTATGATTATTTATGACTCGGGCAATTTAGGATTTCAAAAAGAAAAGCTTTAGCAATTGACTTTAGAGAGTTCAAGAAAAGTGTTAAAAAAGATATATAAAAAACATTTGTGTTTAAAATTCGTTTAGAAGGAAATTTTGTATATCTTAATTTTCTTACATATAAAAAAAGTAGGGTAAAATATTTGTAGGGCATCCAAATAAAAAAAATAAAAAAATTTCGGGACATCCAATTAGAGTTATATGTGGAACGAAAGAAGTGTACTATACACTTCCTCTATTCATCCATTTTATCAAGTCTTTGTACCACGGTTAGAGAAGTGAATCTTTTTGCGGTTAAAATGTATGCAAATGCTAAAAAACCAACATAAAACACATAAGCGCACAACTCGTTGTATAAATAAAAGCATAAACTTGTCATATATCTTCCTCTCATGTGTTGGCAGAAACCAAAAGAAAAAGAGAAAAAAAACACTAATTTTTCATATACATCACCAAAAAAACAGTAGAGAGTACATTCCAACAAACTAGTTGGAATTGCCGGCAGCAAGACCACGCAGCTTTTGTCGATGATCAGAACTAGCAGCGAAACCAGCGTACCAAGCGACTGCCATGAGCTGAACGCCGAGGATCAATACCCACCAACAGACAAGGCCCCTGGTTGTGTGTAACATCCATGAAGGCACACTTAGCTCTGCACCCAGCTTCAAGCCCCTCATCAGCTGCAACAACCGGTAGCCTTCATACACCACCGGCGTGACCAACCAAACCGGGGACCGCCAGTGCCACGTCAGCAACTCCGTGAGCATTTGTATTGAGAGAAGCAGAAGATAGGGGCCCAGAAGAACCGCTGAAGGAATCAAGGGCAGATGGGGCTGAACTAGACCCTTTTGAGAACCCAACATGACTGCCACGGGGATCATAAATCCAACAACGCTCGCAAACATGTTCCATAGCCGGTAAGTGAGAGGAGGGGCATTGTTGGGATCTTGAGTTGGGATTTGTCTTTGTGCGCACGAATGGGCGAGTAGGAGGAAGAGTGTAGCTCCGAGATTGTAAATGCAGTCGAGACCTGTCAGAGAAAGAAGGCTGGCTATGTTGGGTCCGAGGAAGACCGATGAAATGGGTAGCCATAGAGTGGGTACGATTCCTGTGGCTAAAAGTAGGACCGGTCCAACAAGCCACATTGGCCATTGAAAGTATTGAATCTTCACAGCCCTCTCACTACTTGATTCTGTAGTATTGATTTTGTTTATTGAATCTTCTTCTTCTTCTTCTTCACTTTTTTTGGGAATCATAGTGTCAAATAAACTAGTGGTCCCTTCTAGAAATCTTGTTTTGCCATCACCTCTGAGAGCATAGGGTGCAGGTTCCCATGAAGAGGGGTTCGAACAGCAAACAGGCAGCAGTTTAAGGGGCATTTTGGGAAAGGTTCCTCCATTAAGAATATTATTATTATTACTATTATGCTTCACAGATTTGTTGGGGTGATGACACCGAACATGGGGAAGAGTACACGACAATCTTGTGTATGGAGAGCATACTAAAGATGCCATACTGTGATTCATGAGTATTGGGATATGACGGCAATTCTCTGGAAGGAATAACAAGCATACAAGAAACCAAAGTGATTAATGTTATTTATGTTCATATATGGTGTTAAAAGAAACTGAGAGGTGGCATAAAAACAAGATGAATTAAAGATTCAACCCTAAAAGTAATGCCATACTGCAAAGTTTTTCTTTAAATCCTCTCCCCACTACTCTATCTTCCAAAATCCATTCATCAACAGATTAACTACTCTCCTCACACACACACAGTGTTTCTAATACTAAAAACAGCAGCTTAATCAGAACTAGACTTTTGGGACAGAAATAATAGACATGAAACAACATTCACCACTTATTACGTTCAAAAAATCGGGCGGGCGAGAAAATGAAAGAATCTATAACTCCACCATTTTCCTTTCCCCAAACTACCCCCAATAGCGCAACCAAATATCACTCCCAACCCCAGAAGTGAGGATCCACTCCATCGGAGAGATGGGTGAGGGAAGTACAAGGGTTAGGGGACCAAGAGACACTCCCATGATCATGGTCAACATGCCCACCTAGAAAAGTGGGCCGGTTTCCGCTTGGTTGCCTCCATGACTGACCTCTTGAACCTATAAACACCTCTTCTCCTTTCCTAAAGAAAGAATTGAACTATCAATATACAAATGGTTCTTATAGCTTCATCTCTCTGTTCCTATCTACAACCTATTCTCAATAAGTGTTATAAATTCCGGCGGATTAAAGTCCATCGATTATAATCATTAGAAGAAAGTACCATAGAAGGCTGTTCAATTCCTTCAAAAGTAAGATGCTCGTTAAAGGACAATATTCAGTTATGAATTTAGTGAGATGAGCACCAAACACCATTTAATATTAGCCATTCGATTAATGCTCATTAGCTAAAGAATTGTATGCATTTCTACCAAAACTAATGAAATTTTTAATTACTCGTACAACTTAGATATCTTCACTTCCCCTTCCACTTCTAGCCATCGAACCAAACGCAATCTCGGGATGAAAACAACAGAAATCACAGAAAACAACAACAATATATCTACTTCTTCGGTGATGAATTTATGATTACCTGAAACAGAAAAGTTTGAATTTTTCAATCAATGTATTTTTAGAAATTTAGCAATTATTTCAAGCTTTTCCGATGATCGGAGAGCTTTAGGTCACATTTTACCTCAATAAGCAGGTAATTACAATTGGGCGAAGCAGCTGAGCCTCCGATTCAGACGGAGCCGATCTCTCTGACTGTGACCGGAACCATTGTTCGACCCGGAAATTAACACCGGACCGCCTCTTGACCTCCCCCAATGGATCACAAAAAAATTCTCGAAAATTTACAAAAATTAAATTTAGATTTAAATGTATCCATTTTAGATAAATGGAGTAGATTTAATCATAATGACACTGGATATATCAACACGCCCGGTTCCATGGTCACTCGAAAGCCACTATCTCCTACGGAATTCCGTTTATAAAATTGATGATTCCTACACCCTAACCCCCGTTAAACCCCCGCCAAGTCCCGACCCAAACTCATCACCCCACCTACAGCAATTGCACCTCGTAAGCATAAAGTCAATTATGCTTACGAGGTGCAATTGACGTAGGTGGGGTGATGGGTTTGGGTCGGGACTTGGCGGGATGGGTTTACCGGGAAGTTAGGGGTATGAATCATTAATTTTATGAACGAAGTTCCGTAGGGAGTCAGTGGCTTTTGTGGCCACTGAATTCCAGTGGCCATGAAACCGGGCCGATATCAACATCCATCAAAATAACTAACATTAAAACCAAACAAAATAATCTTTTAAACATTTCAAAAGGATTACACTAATTATCCGCACTCGCATAAACAATTATTGTGTGTGTATATTTGTAACACGCTTGGTATGCTAGTGGTATACACTGAATGGTATACAACAAACTTTATCTATTTGGAAACCATATTAGGTAATTCTTTTCAATCCAAGATCACGATGCAAACATATATTCCAATATACTCCGTATTATACGAACTAGTATATAAATATATTCATTTTATATTTTTATCGAGTAATAAATTTACTTTGAGAATGGATTCAATTTTATTGTGTGTGAATTGTTAGGATATATATATTTGTTAGCAGTCCATGTACTCTCTTAGTTCATGCAGGCACCTCGGCTGGATCATTGGAATGCCGCATTACGGGTGTTGCGTTATCTGAAGGGCCACCCTGGTTTGGGGATTTTGTTACGTAGTGATAGTAATCTTGCTTTGACCGCCTTTTCAGATTCAGACTGGGCCAGTTGCCCTCTTACTCGTCGATCTGTCACAGGTTACTTTATTTTACTTTGTGGTTCTCCTGTCTCTTGGCGTACTAAAAAGCAAACTACTATTTCTCGATCTTCCGCTGAGGCTGAGTATAGGGCAATGACTAATGCATGCACCGAGATACGATGGCTCTGTGGGCTTCTCGCTGCTCTGGACGTTCCTTGTGTTGCTACTCCGAGGTTATATTGTGACAACAAATTTGCCCTGTTTATTGCTGCTAATCCTGTATTCCACGAACGTTCTAAACATATTGATATAGATTGTCACATTGTTCGTGAATGTCTTCAGCGTCATCACATTGTCACAGCCTATGTCCCCACGCGTCTACAGACAACTGATTTATTTACAAAGGCGCTTCCTGGTCCTTTATTTCAGTCTTTATTATCCAAGTTGGGCATTTTTGATATACATGCTCCAACTTGAGAGGGAGTGTTAGAATATACTCGGGTATATATTTGTACTATTTGTATATTTCTCGCATGTTGGGCCATTAGTGTTGGGCCGGTTGCTTATTCATTCATGTATATATTATCTTTTGTCATGAATGGGAAAAACATCAACTTCTGTTCAAGTTTTACTTTTCTTTTATTAATTTTTTGTTAATAATTTTAAAAACATTAAGAAATATTTGAAATATTAATTTGTTATTATTCATTCTCTTTAATCGTCAAAAGTACCTTTTTAATGAGTTAAAACTTTTAAAATGTACTTATAAATTATTTTTTTGAACATCGTGGTATGGTAATTGAAATATGATTTCAAGGCGAAAATATTTGTTTTGCTTGAATTGTTTTAAGAACATTTTTTTTTGGAATGTTAGAGTTTGCAAAAGCTTCAAAGTGGATAATTATCACTGTTAAGCTTTCTAGTCTAATAGGGTGTTTGGGTTACAATTAAAAACTACTTTTGAGTTTTTATTTTGTTAAAATGCAGTTTGTCATGTTTGTCAATGTTCATAGATAATGAATTTTAAAATTTAAAATGAATTCCACAGCACTCTGTTTGGTTCAATAAATTTGTAAGAAAAATAAAAAAAAGACTCATTTTCTTCACCCAAAATGGAAAGTATTTGATTTCCTCTTCTTTAATTACATTTTGTCCTCTTTTTTTTCCTTCCATTTTTTGCTCCGAACCAATTAAGAAAAATACTTTTCTTCTTATTTTATTTTCTTCCCAAATTCTTAGAACCAAATATATGTAAGTGTTTTAAAGCGAAGCTATACCTATGGCTTAATCCTCTAATTCAAAAGCAAGTTGATACTCCCTCCGTCCCGGAGTATTCGTCCACTTTTGACTTTTAGAACTGTTCATCTAAGCACTTTGACTCATCAAATTCTCTCAATGTGTAAGCCTAAATATAGTCATATGTGATCTTGTTTGATTTGTTTTAACATATAGATTATTAATATATAATTTCTATAATTTTCTAATATACAAATTACAAGATAAAATGGATTAAAGAAGTGTATTGGATGGTGTGTAAAAATGAAAGTGGACAAATACTCTGGGACGGAGGTAGTACATACTTAAATTTTTGCTTATTGCTGATTTTGATAATTTTATGTTCCAACTAATATCATCATCTCTCTTATTTAGAGATAGTTACACGTTTCACTCATATAAAAAAGTACTCCGTGCTTGACTAATTTTTGTTTGCAAACATTCAAAATTATATTGTTTAAACAAAAAATTATATTTCAACATCAATCTAAACACTACACATTTTTACTTAAATAATCGATTTTTGTAACCTACAAAGAAAATGAATAAATTTATACTCTCTCCTTTCATATTTAGTTGTCTACTTAAAAAATGTTTAAAATATAAGTTTGAAATATCAAATACATATTTGAAATGAGTTTTGTAAAGTGAGTATTTCACATTGGATCTTGAAGTGAAAATAAATCGGTATATAAGTTCTTGAGTTGAATTAAGTAATCGATTAAATCTAATATTTTAATATGTTTTCATTCAAGTATCTTATGACCCAGTCCAATAATACTTATTTTATCTTAAATTCTATCATGAATTTGGAAGCGATTTTACTATTTTAGGCCACCTTGCTTGTGAATGGATCCATTTTGACCAAGTCCCACAAGTATTCCAAATTCCGGTCAAGAAATCACCATCCCAATTTCAAGCATTCCAAATGCAACTCGCAAATTCCAATTGACGGTTTGACTCACAGGTCAGTTTGAACCTCTTCGGTTTTTTTTGCTATTTTTTTAAATTTTCTTTTCTATCTTTCAGCTTGGGATTAAATTACTTCATTGTTTATTTTATCTCCTATTTTTATTTGAATATATTTTTGCATGTAAAAATCATAAAATTAATGTAATTGAAGTCTGGCTCTACATCAATTTTACCATTTTTGTGTTTCAGTTCTTGAAGCTCAAAAATTGCAGCCACAGGTTCTTTAACTCAATTATTTTCTAATGTTAGTTTATTATTAATAATGTTCTTAGTATTATATGAATTTGAATTAGATACTGAAATTTATTTTTTGTTTTTCGTGATTTGTAACATTTGGAACATGACACTAATTATAAAAACTAGGGTCAAGTTTTCTTTCATTTGTAATTGAAAATTATGTCTATTGCTAAATCCCTAGACCAGACCGGAAAACTAGTCCAGACCAGTTCAGACAATAATCTAACAATTTCGGTTTCCGGTCCTATACATTGGACAATTTTGATTTTTTGGATTTTTCGGTTTCAGTCCAGTCTGGTTCGATTTTGGACCGGAGTACACCCCAAATTATGTGTAAAAGTGCAGAGGTCATATATATAAAAAAAAGTGGAATGTCCACTCCGGACGCCCACACAGTCTGATTTGCCATGATTGTAAGAGGGTAAATCATAGTATAATCCTTAGAGAAGTTGCACGTGCCCAAGGAACTATTATAAAGATTAGAACTCTCGCACTATCGCCGTCGGGATTCGACCTTGGAATCAATGAACTTGACCTCCTCTCCTTAGACCAGTTGAACTACCACGCTAACAGAGATCACATATATATACTCGTATAATATATAATGTGCAAATTACAAAGCACAAGAAAGATAGACAGGGGCAACATGTTATAAGGTACCTTATGGTCTATTCAGAGTGCTAGGCTAAGCTATTACTCTTGTCACTAAAAGGTTTCCATAGTTTGATTTTTTTAGTTAAATTGTGGTCCTTTGACCATGAATTATGTAAAAAATATATTTACTTATAATGTAATTTTAGTAAAATTGAGTTCACTTTAATATATAGTTTTGAAATATCAAATTTTTATATTGTTTAATTATTTTAGATTTCATTTAATTCATGGTTAAAGTTTGTCACAGTTTGACCCAAAAAATGAAATTCTGACCATCTTTTAGAGACAGAGGGATATTGCGAGTATTATACACTTATTCGTTTCAAAATAAATAACCAGTTTAACTTATAAATGAAAATATCGAAAAATAAAAAAAAATACTTCGTATGTAATTTGAATTTGTTTGAGTTGGGATTAAATATAATAAAGCAACAAGTATAAATAAAGGAAAATGCTAGGGGTACACCTTTGGTGTACCTCATTTGTCCCCCACCCCTTCCATTACCACTTAAATAGGCAAGAAATTTTTAAAAAATTATGTAAATAAAAAAAAATAAATGAGTAGTTATGGAAGAGATGATGTAGAAATGGGATACACCTTTTTGGTGTACCCCTAGCATCTCCCATAAATAAAAGGTCGCTCTAACAGATATGCCCACAAAAGCATAGAAATTGTACTTATCGTTGCACATAAAAAAGGCCTAAATAGATAGGCCCAAAATGCTTCTCATAGACTGGTAAACAAAGCATTTACATCATATGAATGCATAACGGGCCTGGCCCAATAGATTTTACTATTTTTAGGTTTTAACCCATATTATTTGGGCTACAAGCATCTCATTCACCTAATTGCCAGTAAACTTGTATGACTGTCGGTCGTAGAGTTACTGAATGAGAAACAATGACTTTTTTTACTGCATCCAAATTAGCTTACAAATTGTTGCTATATCCACTCCAGTTTTGGTTAAA